ATCACCCATTTCCAGTGCTCCCACCTCAGGCAGACGCATCCTACCCTCCTTGCCCATTCCCATTGCCTCTGATGTGCCACGCTTCTGCCCTCCCTTACACAAAACCACTTCCAGCTTTCAGGTCTCTGGGGATTCCTTTGCTATGCCTCATTGCCTCCATAGGAAGAGCTCTGGGGCACAGGAGCTGCCCCAGTGTGTGCCTACCTAAGGGGCTGATGCTCTGACATAAGGGGCTGGGTGTGGTGGGCTGGGCATCACCAGCATTGCTTGAACTGGGGACTCTCATTCTGCCTTCATTCTCCCAGTTCTCTTGTCCTAGACTCACCACAGAATCATTAAGGTTGGAAAAGACCTTAAACTGAACAATTCCAGCTCCATCAGCTGCTCCCCATAAGCCTTGTGCTCCACAACCCTCACAGCTTCGTTGCCCTTCTGTGGACATGCTGCAGGGCCTCAATGTCTCTCTTGTAGTGAGGGGCCCCAAACTGAACACAGCACTGGAGATGCTGACATTCCCTTATCCCCTGATGTCACAGACCTCCCCGTCCCCTCTTGCGTACTAAAAGCTATCTCAGAAGTTGCAGATGTTGTGGAACGCGATGAAAGCACACCGCCACTAGAGCAGCGGGGCAAAGCACTGCTGCTTGTTGCTTCCTTTAGTCCTTTCCGACACGTTTCCCACCGCACAGTAGGAAGCCATGAACTCTGCACCTCAAGCGCTTACAAATAAAGGCTGTGCGCTGCTCGCCCGCCCCCGGCTGCACAGGGCCGCCCGCCCCGCGCAGCGCCGGGCCCCATAGCCGCCCTGTCGCCTCCGGCCGGGGGTGGGCGGGGCGGAGGTGCCACCTGCCGGCGGCGGGGCTCCACGGCAGCGGCCCGCGGGCTTCCCTGCCTCCTCGCCGCGGCCCGGGCTCAGGATCCCGGGCTTTGACGGCCGCTTGTCGCGCGCGTTAGGCGCTGCCCGGGGCGCGGGCCGGCCGTGTTCGTGCTTCTGTGGTTCGGACTGCGGCTGCGCGAAGTTTGCTCCCGATTTCGGCAGCTCTGGTGGAACGTCGGCCGGTCCGTCTGTGCCTCACGCCCGCGGTCCGTGCCCGCTGCTGCACAGCACTCCTGTGCTCCCGCCGGGCACCGCGGGCTGGCGGAGCTCTACCAAAACCAAAACCGTTGCAAAAGTTAAGTCTGGTGTGCTGGAAATTGTGTGAACGAGCGGCTTCTGGATAAGGTCAAAGCCTGGGGCTGTTTCTGTTAGTTTTCCTTCGGTGAGCGTGCTGATTGGCCGGGTTTTGTTCCTGTGGTGTAGCGCAGCTTTGCTCCTAAGGCATCCCAGTCCTTCCTGGGCTGTCGAACTTGGGGTCAGGAAACAAGCGCTGCGCTGCTCTGTGCGCTGAGGTACCGGCATGCAGGTTCCAGAATGGAAAAGAACCACAACTGTGCATCCAAGTGATAAGGCTTCCGTGAAACGGAGGTACTGACTGGAGTTAGGAACAGCGTTAGAACTAGTTTTTTATTAGATTTTGCTTGGTGACTGCTTGCATGAATGACTGAAGTTCAATAAAACCATAGAAGTAAAGGAATAAAAGGTTGTAAGTTACAAGCAATTCAAAGTGCAGAAAGAACGATGCTGTCCATGAGAACAGAGGCTCTTGAAGTGTTACCACTTCCATGGCAGCGTTAGGTGCAGCACACACAGTGGGAGCCGTCCTTCGCAGTGCTGCCATTGCTGGGGCATCCTAGCGTCCCAAGGCTGCTGCGTGCTCATTGCCCACGTAAAGGCAATTAATAACTACAGGAGTAAACAGCCACCAGTTTGCAGAGTAAATATCTAAATTAGAGGGATTAGATATGAGTGCTGCTATCGCAGCACAAGTGGCTCATTGATTGCCCCTGAAAATAATACGCTTATTAGCACAGCCTGGGAGCGGGGGGCTGCAGGGCTGCATGAATGCAACTACTCAGTGAGTACGAAATTGAGCTGAACAGCTTCGGATCTGAGTTAAAGCACTGGGTATCAGTGAGCAGGGTGGACAGTGGGGATGTTACAGGCTGCTTCCTTCTCTCTCCCCTTGCTCCCCCAGCAATGCATTTGTCTAGGACTTGTCCCTGGCTCATGGACACAGTGGTTGATCCCAAGGATGGATCCTGGAAGAGGAGAAAATAGAAGTGTGGGGTTGTTCAGATGATGTTTTGCAGCCCTGGTGTGGGCAGCCAGGCTGGGTAGCCCTCAGGTTCCCTTTCTTGCTAACTGTGAGGAGAGAAAAGATAGCAGATCTGTTATTGCTGTATAAATATTGTGTCTTTTAGCAATGGGATGTAAGAAATTCATCCCCAGCCGGTCCTTACTGTGGAAATAGGTTCCTACTGCAGACTAACAAGTGGCACAGAAGAGTTACAAAGCTTTACATCAGCTGCAATCCGGGGTCCTGCTGAGAGAAACTGCTCTGTGAGGCATGACTGTATATGAACTTCTGGTTGTGGGGCTGTGCTCCATGAAAACTGTGGCTTTAGAAACAGAACAGGGCCATCTTCACCCTCTGGGCTTCACCTCCTGGGTGGAGTGTGAAAATGTAGATCATGGAATGGTTTGGCTTAGAAGGGACATTAAAGCCCATCCAGTTGTGAGCAGAGCTGCCACTCAGCAGATTAGCCTGCTCAGAGCCCTTCCTACCTGTCTTTGAGCACCTCCAGGGTTGGGGCATCCACAGCTTCTCTAGGCAGCCTGTTGTATGCCTGCATGGCTGCACTGATGGCCCAAGGCAAAGCCACCCAGCGGCAGGAAGGATGATGATGTGCACACAGTGCATGGGGCTCTCTCTTTTGCAGAGGAGCATGGACAAGGGCTGTCGTCCCACAGGCAGGGCTGCCAGCTGCAGGCTGAGGTAATGCTGCCACTTGGCTGCACACTCCTACAGGTATCACACAAACAAACCGCACAAAATGAATGGCATGGAGCTGCTTGAGGGAAGGGTCAGGAAGGGGTTGGGGAGAAGTTCTTCACCAGAGGACAGTGGGCATGGAACAGGCTGCCCAGGGCAGTGGGCACAGCCCTGAGTTCCAGAGTTCAAGGAGTGTCTGGACAGCACTCTCAGACATTGGGTTTGGATTTTGAGTGGTGCTGTATAGAGCCAGGAGCTGGACTCAGTGATCCTCATGGGTCCCTTCCAACTTGGGATATTCTATGATTCTGTGAACACAAAACCAGCATCAACATAACAGGGCATGTAAATATGAGAACAGAGGAGGGAAAACCAACTAGTCATTCAAGAACTGCACTCCAAGCTCCTTTATCTCCATATTTGATCTCAAAGAGAAGGTTAAAAATGTTCATTTACCCATGGCAACTTCTTGGATTCACAGAATCAACCACAGATCCCTCAAATGGTAAAGATGAGTAGTTTTTTTTTCCCCTCCTCCTCTTCTGGCTGAGTACTATGAGTATGCAATTTTTTCCATTTTATTTGCAGTTTTTGCGTATCACATGTCAAATGTCCAGCCCATTTCACTGCTAACAAACCTTTACACATGCAGGAATGTTTGTGTAATCAAAGAAAATATTTTTAAGTGTCAGGACTGAGGAGTTTTAAACCATAGGAGATAAGACTCTGAATCCTGGCTCAAGGCCTGGAAGCTGTGAGGCAGACCAATGGAAAATGCAGATGGTCGTGTTCAGAGTACTGCTTTTGGCTTTTTCCAAACACAGAATCCCAGGTACTTGGCCTTTCAACTCAACCTAGACATTGTGTTTTTGGGAGCTTATTTGAAACGAGCAAACGGCATTAAGCAAACAAACAAACGGACTCCCTTCCTCCCCCACACTCAGACTAACCCTATTTCAGCCCTATTTCCTATGCAGGGCTGTAAAAACTGTTCAAGAAGATGTTAATGGCCTTTTCCAATTTCTAGCCATAAATAGCATCCCTGCACTGAAGAGGAATGCTAGCAAAAAGTTAAAGTATAACCCAACCGTTCTGTCCAAGGCCTCACACTGCCTAACTTCCCATTGTCAGCTTCACCTTTCAGGAAAGCTATGTTGATAAATAACAGGGATATGAAGGACAATACAAACATTTGCATTCTTTCCACACCTTCAAGTTGCTTTTGAAGCTTTCCTATACAAAGTTAGGAACAAAGCACGAAAGGAAGTTGGGTTCTGTCCCAGTTTCAGAAAGTGGGCTGTAAGATACCAAATCGTGTAAGCACTGTGGAAATTCCAAAAGCTGGCACCAATGAATTACATTTCTCTGCCTGCAGGTCTCTGTTCCTGCTTGCCTCCTCTTTTAGCTGAGTTTCTAAAGGCTTCAAAGGTGGATGCTGCCCTTCAGTGGCACTTGGAGGGCTGATAGTGTTTTCAAAAAACAAAAGCAAATGATGCTGCCCTGACAGAGGGAAGAACAAGGTCAATCATGCGATGCAAATCAGCTGTTAGAGAAAATCAAAACAGAGGAACCTGCCAGCCCCACAGCATAGACTGAACATGAATAAACAAAACTTGATTCCTGCTTAATTTTATCATCAGAGAAGAGAGAAGGTGAAAGAGGAAAATACATAAGTGCAAAAGTACTTAGGTAATGCCAGGAATTCAGCAATGACTTTGGAAACAAAGCTTAAACAATAATCATGTTGCTATAAAGCCCTGTATGTTCAAGCTAAGCGTGCATCCCATCCAGAAGACATAGCTGAGGACTTCTGAGGATCTGGCAGACATTTAAATGCTATTAGGAAGGACCCTGGCTCTGAATATCTTTGCTCTCCTTTTATTAGGTTAGTGCTTTTTAGTTCTTGACAGAAACTTTCATAAAAAAATCCAACCAGTTCTGAAAATCCACCTGCAATGTCACACAGCAGCTGAACACTATTTGTGAATTTCAAGACTTTTGTTACAGAAATGCCAGGTTGTATGGGAACAGCTGAATCATGGCCCGAACCTCTGATTGATCACCTGAGGTGAGCCCTGAGTCAGCCATGGGAGCACAGGTGAAGGCAATTCTCCTGTGCTGCTGGAAGGGTGGAGCCTGGCTGCACCTCTCCTGAGGCCCATTTAAGAGCTGAATGCCAATGGGGAAGGAGCTCTTCTGGAGATTTCCCTCTGCTGCAGTTTCATAAGTGAGCTCAGGATACAGGTGAGTGTCCTATCTTTTCTGCTTTGGTGTGATAACTATGTGGCCAAGCTCTTTGATATACTGTAACATCTGTACATTCATTGATTGTACACTTGGCGAGGCAGGCATGCCAAATATACTTTATACCGTGTCCTTTCTGTGGAATTTCTATAAATGGGTCAGGGGAGAACATCACTCCTTTAGATAAAACGATCCCTGGAGAGATCCCAGAGTTTCTGGGTTCTACTTATTACTAATTAGCTACCATTGTTGAGAAATGGGGTCCCCCTGTGTTCTGTGGGCAATATTTCTCTTCTGTGTGATGGAATACTTTCAAGGATTAGACAGAGACATCCTAACTACCAAAGAAAGGCAGTTAGCTGCCTCCACAGTGGCATAGCCACTGTTAAATGCCTTAAATCAAGCTGAGATAAGAGCACCTTGACACCTTGGAAAGTGAAAATCAGCTATTAAAAGATGGTATTGAAAAACTGGAATGGGTACTTACTGTATTAACAGGGAAAAGACCAAGTTTACATTCCCTGATAGGTCAGGTCTACAGTATTTCTATAGATAATAGCTACACCTCTGAAGTAACACACCTGGTTGAACAGGAAAACAAAAACTCTGAGTCAGATTTCCACTTATGGTGGATTCCTTGGAACTCAGTCCTGTTATAACCCAAAAGACAAAGAAAGTACAAGATATACAGGAGGTGCCCCCTGCCCAAAAGCATTTAAACGTAATGGCTAGGCCAAATATACCAACAGAACTAATAGATATGGTGCTGTGATTTTGGCAGAGGCCAAAAGAGAGTGTGGTTACTTAGATTATGGGATTCAGGGGCCGAAAGCGTCACAGTTAATGGGCCAGAAGTATCAGAATTGGCCACTGTGACAGTACACCCTGCCCTCAGGCACAGGCTGTATGCTGCTGTTCAGTATAACAATGAGAACCATTCAATTATAGACTGGTTAATGGTAGCATACTGCATGGTTTGGTTGAACAAATCAGATATCCCATTAAACACAGGATTATGGTCCTCCATGGAGGATCTTCAAAATTATATTTGTGAACTGGGCATAAGAAAAGCAATATATGAGAACTCATTTGAAAGCCCAGATATGGTAAAGTTTTCAGCAGGTATGTGAGATTTAATCTTACAGTAGGCCCCTTCTCACCTGTATGGGACCTTGGTTTCCATGTTAAACCCCCTGGTGGCCTTGAAGGCTGTGATTCAACAGTCTGCCCAGTTAGTAGCTGATCTGGGGGATGGTCAGAGCAGCCAATGGGCAGAACTGCGAGCGGTGTGGATGGTTCTAACCAAGGAATCTGGTGATGGTATCCTGAACGTCTGCACAGATAGTTGGGCTGTGTACCGGAGGCTCACTCTTTGAATTGCACAGTGGGCCACCCAGGAACGGGCTCTTCACAGAATCACAGAATTGTAGGGGTTGGAAGGGACCTCCAGAGATCATCGAGTCCAACCCCCCTGCCAAAGCAGGTTCCCTACAGCAGGTCGCACAGGTCGGCATCCAGGCAGGTCTTGAACATCTCCAGAGAAGGAGACTCCACCACCTCCCTGGGCAGCCTGTTCCAGTGCTCCGTCACCTCACTGTAAAGAAGTTCTTGTGCACATTTGTGCAGAACTTCCTATGCTGCAGTTTCCAGCCGTTTCCCCTTGTCCTGTCTCCACTCACCACTGAAAACAGTCCGGCCTCGCCATTCTGCCCCCCACACCTTAGATATTTATAGACCTGGATCAGGTCCCCTCTCAGTCTCCTTTTCTCAAGGCTGAACAGACCCAGATCACTCAGCCTTTCTTCATAGGAGAGATGCTCCAGGCCCTTCACCATCTTCGTGGCCCTCTGTTGGACTCTTTCCAAGAGATCCTTGTCTTTTTTGTACTGGGGAGCCCAGAACTGGACACAGTGCTCCAGATGAGGTCTTACCAGGGCAGAGTAGAGGGGGAGGATCACCTTCTTCGACCTGCTGGACACGCTCTTTTTAATGCACCCCAGTAAGCCATTGGCCTTTTTGGCCACAAGGGCACACTGCTGGCTCATGGCCGACCTGTCATCCACCAGGACACCCAGGTCCCTTTCCGCAGGGCTCCCCTCCAGCAGGTCATCCCCCAACCTGTACTGGTGCATGGAATTATTCCTCCTCTTCGTGCCTGGCTGACGTGGGGCAAGGACATGTGGTTAGATATATGGAGTACTGTCCAACACAGGACTGTATATGTCTACTGTGTTTCTTGTTATCAGCCCTTACAGTCACTGGGAAATAACGAAGCCGACATGCTGGCCCAAGTTCGATGGATTGAGAATTTACCATCTGAGAACATCGCCCGTTGGTTACATCAGAAGCTACAGCATGCAGAACAAAAGACAGTGTGGGCAGCTGCTAAAGCATGGGGACTGCCCATACAGCTACCTGACATCATCCAGGATTGCGATGCTTGCTCTAAGAGAGACCAAGATCGTTGCCCGAAACAACAGCCCATCTTGCTAGAGGACACAATCCTCTCCAGTGATGGCAGGTCGATTACATTAGGCCCTTCCTTGGTCTGAGGGGGTGAGATACACCCTGACCTGCGTCGACACTGCAAGTGGACTGCTGCAGGCCTATACAGTGCTGAAAGCAAACCAGGCATATACCATCAAGGCACTCACTAAACTGATGTCTGCCTACAGGACAGCTCAAGTCATTGAGAGTGACCAAGGGGTTCATTTTACTGGTGCAACAATACAACCCTGAGCAAAAGAAAATAATTTTGAATGGTGATTCCACCTGCCGTATAATCCAACGGGGGCAGGCCTCATTGAATGTTATAACAGCACTCTTAAGGCTGCCCTGAAGACAGACTCCCAGTCCCTGCAGGGGTGGATGAAAAGACTTTATGAAACCTTGCAGGACCTGAATGAAAGACCTCAAGACGGCAGACTCAGTGCCCTGAGAATGTTGCAGACAACATGGGCTACCCTGCTTGGGATCCAAGTTACGGGCACTGATCATCAGGTAAGACCCCAGATTGGTTATGAAAATAATCTTCTGCTCCTTGCCCCTGAGAACTTAGATCCAGGCACCCATAGAATAAAATGGCCTTGGAAGGTGCAGGTAGGACCCAAGCAGTGTGGCCTACTTGCACCTTGGGGGAGATTGTTGGAGGTGGGAGGCTCAGTAGTCCCTCCAGTAACGGGTACGTGGCCTACTGATATTGTGGTCAACACTCCAATCTTCATTGCTAAAGGGACCCCCATCATGTCCCTGTGGCAGATCAGGACACCTCCTTTGGTGCCTGATATCGTTATGGAGCCACAGACATCTGGCCAGAAGGTGTGGTACAGGCAGCCAGGATGTGCCCCAGTACAAGCAGAAGTGTTGACCCTGGATAGAAATACAGCCTGTATCTGGAGAGCAGACCTTCCCCTCCTGGTACCTCTGACACATCTGTATTACTCCCTGTGAGTCTGTGAGCCTTCAGGATCACCAGAAGGAACAAAATGCCATCAAGCACTCCAGTGTTGCTGTCAGATCACGTGCAACACCTGGTGATGGTCTGCATGGGACTGATGGAACATAGCACGGACCTGCACCTCATGACCGCGTGCCTCCAGTTACATCATCGAGCACTGGCCTACAGAAGAATATGGACATCCACTGATCATCACTCATCTTGAATTGTACCAACATGCGTTGGGGTGGAAATGGTGTAAGTGTTGCGATATAGCGGATCTCTGTATTAGGAAAAGCTCAACCTGATCATTTGTTCATGCTGTGAAGGGGTGGAGTGTATGGGAATTGCTGAATCATGGCCTGAACCTCTGACTGATCACCTGAGGCAAGCACTGAGTCAGCCATGGGAGCACAGGTGAAGGCAATTCTCCTGTGCTGCTGGAAGGAGTGGAGCCTGGCTGCACCTCTCTTAGATCCATTGAAGAGCTGACTGCCAGTGGGGAAGGATCTCTTCTGGAGATGGAGCTTCATAAGTGAGCTCAGGATACAGGTGAGTGTCCTATCTTTTCTGCTTTGGTGTGATAACTATGTGGCCAAGCTCTTTGATATACTGTAACATCTGTACATTCATTGATTGTACACTTGGCGAGGCAGGCATGCCGAATATACTTTATACCGTGTCCTTTCTGTGGAATTTCTATAAATGGGTCAGGGGAGAACATCACTCCTTTAGATAAAACGATCCCTGGAGAGATCCCAGAGTTTCTGGGTTCTACTTATTACTAATTAGCTACCATTGTTGAGAAATGGGGTCCCCCTGTGTTCTGTGGGCAATATTTCTCTTCTGTGTGATGGAATACTTTCAAGGATTAGACAGAGACATCCTAACTACAAAAGAAAGGCAGTTAGCTGCCTCCACAGTGGCATAGCCACTGTTAAATGCCTTAAATCAAGCTGAGATAAGAGCACCTTGACACCTTGGAAAGTGAAAATCAGCTATTAAAAGATGGTATTGAAAAACTGGAATGGGTACTTACTGTATTAACAGGGAAAAGACCAAGTTTACATTCCCTGATAGGTCAGGTCTACAGTATTTCTATAGATAATAGCTACACCTCTGAAGTAACACACCTGGTTGAACAGGAAAACAAAAACTCTGAGTCAGATTTCCACTTATGGCGGATTGTTTAGAACTCCGTAACTACGTAGCCAAGCTCTTTGGTTTACTATAACATCTGTATATTCATTGATTGTACACAGGTGCTTGTAAAACATCTCAAGTTATGATCCTTTTTTCCCCTAGTTACTCTATTCAGGTTCCTAAGTAGCCGAATGAAAGTGATTTTGACTCTGGTGCTTATGGAAAGAATGGACACAATGCCATACTCTTTTTTTCAGTTCAAGTTTTACTCCCAATTGCACAAAGGTTGAAAAGGTTTTCAGAGGTTGAAAATCAGTATAATAATTTTGGTTTCATGTATAAAACCACAACCAGAAGGATACAGGAATTGTGTGATGGTTCCAACATGCAGCATGGAAGTGTCATACAAACTAATTTTATCTTATACAATGTTTTTCTTCTACATTCTCTGCTTCTCCAATGATAACTGTACAACATCTGCAGATTTGTAAGGTTAAAATATTTTGATAAGATACCACATTATGGGAGATTCCAATGAATTTGTACAGTTTACAGTACAAAATAATGACAAGTCAGAGCATTGCTAAGAGTTTATTCGGAAGCTTTTACTTTCAGTTCTTATATCACAAAAGACATGTTTACATGTTTACAACAAGTATTAGAAACTGAGATGTTTTTATTTCTACTATTATAAAAGTAACAGAGGAGACCATTCTGAGCCATCTTCAAAATGCAGACCAATCTTTTTTTGTATATAAACTGTACACAAAAAACAAGGCACTATACATTTTTGGATATTAAAGTATAAAGGTTGATTCGCATAGTTTCTCAAGAAATCCATGCTATAAATACAAACGCTTTGTTCAGTTTAGCACCTGAAGCAGCACTGAGAACAATTCATTGCCTATTGCAAAGAGAAACTTTTCAGAATGCGCAGGAGATACATATTGGTGGTTTAGCTAATTCAGTACAAGCAACTGCCATCCAGCTACTGTTCTGTAGTTCTGACATTGAAGTCTTGAAAGTGAATATATATTGCATTGTTAAATACATACTTGTTCTATGTGTTTATATAAATATAAATTCTTTGTAATCCACAAACTAACAAAATAACACTTTACAAAGAGAACTTCTTCAAAAACAAAAATGGCAAGTATTGGAGATAGCCAAAGGACAGCTACAGCAGTAGCTCAAGAAACTACTGTTTAAGTGCATAGGAGAGCTGAGCTTAAACATAACCTTCAAAGTCAAATTTGAATTCCACTTCCAAAGAGTTCTCTTGGCCTTTTAAAATATTACACACCTCCAGATAGGTAGTCACTAATAATTTCGGATTATCTCTATTTTGTAAATGTGGAGCACAGATTTGCTAAAGGGCACAGAAAGTGATAACGGACTTCCCTTTGGTGCTCAATCCAATAGATACAGCTTAAAAAAGTCCTTTTGCCTTTTTCAGATTAACCTGTTTCCATGATGGCAGTGCGTTGTACTCTTCTCTTGTCATCTCTAATGCAACCTGCATGGAAAACAAAAGGATACACCCCTAATAAGCCACGCAGCAAAACCATCAGATGACTTAACAGCAAGGTTGGACAGAAACACACAGAGTATTATTGTACCCATTCTCTCCTTACCTCAAAGTCCTCATCCGAAAGATAAATTTCAAGCTTCAGAGGATCAACTCCCTCAGGTAAAGGCCTGGCTAAGAGATCAGCTAGGGGATACACAGTTTTACACAGCTTGGCCAGCACATCTTCTACAAGGATTATCTGATTAGAAACATCAGCATCCTAGGGGGAGAAAAAGAAAACGCTCAGCTCAGGATCACAGTGCTGAATCCATCAGCTGCTTGTGTCACTCTGAGGACAGCGTGGGATCAACCTATGCTGCCTGGCTCGCAGAGCACAGAGCTGGACCTGTAGGTCTGCACATTGCCTACCAGCCTTTGCCTACAACCATTTCACAGCCACAATAATGTCTGCACTTTGCAGAAGGAATTCCTGCACTTTAAGAATCTCAGCTTAAGGTCAACTTGTGTGTTTAAAATCATGAATCCAGCAGTTTCCTCTTTGGATTGCTGCAGAAGATTTACAGAGAAGCAAATGTGATTTGCCTCGAAATTCCCCTTCACTGAAGGCTTTTAAAAGAGTCAAGTAAATTCAGCTGGGATGGTGCTTCCCAGGTGGGGAAGTTCATACTGGAGCTCTTTGTGGAGCTTGTCTCTCCCCAGCTCCTTCCATGTGGAGGATTGACCAGAGCTGAAGGTTGCTGCCTGTTTCCCAAAGTTGAAACAGTTGTTCTGCTAAATGCTAACAACTGTTTCTACAGAACAATTCAGACAGCACTTCACTCCAGTTCTGTTTTTAGCAAAAAACAGCATGAGAAGTTGCATGAAAAAGAACTGGGAATGCCTCTGATAGCCACACTCACAGTCAAAATTTGGCTTTGTTGTTTCTTTTTTTTTTTTCCTGTGCAGACTCTTAAACCACACTTTAATAGACTCACTCATGGGGTTTTGGGGCATGACATCACAAAATAGCAATGTTACTGGCAACACGAGATAATTACTAGCAATAGCAAACAGTGCACACTGTGAAAGTATTTACCATTTCTGTGATCTCTGCAATGTCTTCCCTGTGTTCCCAACTTGGGAACATATTAGTGAAGGTCAGAGGCTCTAGGCCAGCATGAATGAGATAGGACTTTGGGGGCTTCTTTACATTTTTTCCTAAAAACAGCCAAAACACAAAAAAGAGAAATTAAAAGTGGTACCATATTTCCTGGTATCATCTGCCAAAAAGAACTATGCTGTAGATAGTTAAGTAATTTGAGGCATTAGGAATGCATTTCATCATGATTTCTTTTACACATAGCATGGCATCTTCTAAAGTGGAGTTGTTTTTGTTTGTTTGTTTTTGGTGTTTTGACATGTGCTTTTTACTGTATCTGACCACAAAGATTAAAGCATGTACACTGATGAAAACTTTACAGTTACTTCCTAATTCAGTGTACATCTTATCTTACAAAAAAAAAAAAAAAAAAAAAGTGAGGATAGCTTTAGCAGAATGTGATGATCTGAAATCAGCCAAATTCAGGTAAAAAAAAACCTCGTATGCCCAGAAGTGTCCTACCATCAGCAAGTACCGAGGAAGCTTGAAAGGCTATGTGAGAATGTGTAAACTGTCCTTAACTTGGGATCCTGACATTTGACATAGTCATTTTGTCACAACAAATTCAAAGGAACAGGATCTGCAAGTTAAAGAGAAGTACTGCAATAGCTAGGTGGCAAATTCTGCTGATGTTTAAATTTGTATAAAACATGTGAGAGAACACTATATATGGCAATAAGCTCTGTCTACGAGTGATGCCATGTAAGAGAAAGGGTTGAAGTCATTACACCAAGAACAACTGAATAAAGGCCCTGTTGCTTGAATGAATTCATACCACAAAGATTCAAAAGCACCAATAAACTCAAATGTCCTTGGAAAGAGGCAGACAGGCAGTCGGGGCTGGGAGGAGCTATCTCCTCCTAATAGTCTGAAAAGTATTGTACCTTCTCTTTAGTTGGGTTAAAACACATCACTCTAATCAGATTGTTTTTCCAGACAGGAGATGGAAAAGCTGAACATGTTGCCAAGTCCAGAATCAGGAGAAACTAACACAACAGTATCACACAACCTTGCTTCTGAAAGCTGTATCTTCTTGCAAAATTCTATATGTAATTCCAGAGCATCTTTAAAAAATAAGGATTTACTCAAGAAAATATCAATCTGCTAAGGATGACTTTGTTTAGTCTCCACCATATGGTCTTCATTTTTGTGGGAAGATCTGAAAGAACATGGCCACCTACCATCTGCTAGGGAGCACCCCACAGCACTGATGTAACACCTATGCTGAATGCAAATGGAGAGCATGGCTGGACATTGTTGTTCCAGTAAGCTTGTTAAATGTCAACATTACAGGTTTGGCTTAACATCAAGTATTGGTAGCAAGCTGATTAGAGAGAGCATGTTAGCATGAAATTGAACAGTAGAGAAAAAGCTCTATGGAGCAGTCAAACAAATGTATTAGAATGTGAATGCTCCAAACACACAATTTAGACAGGAGGTTTATTATCTGAATACTTGATGCTAAGTCCTCTCTTACACGTGGGTGTTTGCACTGTGGTTTATTTGTTCACTCTACCATGAATTATTCATGGTACTTAAAAGTACCAAAGTACCAAAGTACTTAAAAATTCAACAGGTACTTTAAAACTCTGTGCTTCAAAAATATGCCAGTCTGCTCTGGTTGAACTGCTCCTGTCTCAGTAGTTCAGTCAAGATACAAAAGGAGAGCTGCAAGTGATAATGGGCCAGTATAGGCACAGCCATCTCATAAGACTGACTTCCTACATAAACAGATGAACAATTTCATTGCATGAACTCTGCCCTCATCACAAGCTGGTCTCCACAGTCATAGTCACTGATGGTCAGACCAATTTTTCTCTCTCCTGCTGTCTGCAGTTCAGTACTCCAGATTGCTGACTTAAAGGATAAAACCATAGAAAATCATTTCACGACGTTCTGATGAATTAAATTAAGATTTATGCATAAGGAGAATTGTTAGGTATATTCAAGGGATATCCAGAGGAGGTTATCAATCTTTTTCATACCATCACGTGATTAAACATTGCAACCCAGGAAAGAGAGGAGTGAGAGGGAAGTAGAGGATGAAAGAAATGGAGAAAGAAGAGTTGTCTTATGCTTCTAATCACTCTACTTGTATACCAATCAGAATATTTCCTACACTTAATCTGTTGGTTTTTAATCTCACCCCCTTAGTAAGTAATGACACATAAGTAGATCTTAAGTCAGCCCTGGTAGCCTGAAGCAATGAAATTTTGAACTGGTTGACAGAACAGCCCAATGCTAGATCATGGAAGTGATGGGACAGCAAAAAAGGTCCCATTCTATGATTCTGTTACATCAAATTTGGCACAGAAATAGTACAAGTAGTATTGATCTTTAAGGGTAGTAAACTTGCTCTGTACCCATCCAACCAAAGGGGAAAAAGCTCTTACTGCTGCAAAATTATAGTCAGGGGCTAAAAAGTTTGCATCCAGCAAAAAACCTATGACATATATGCTATAGTTCAGACCCACAAGAAGTCACTGAAGAGCTTTTAACTGTGCAAACTGAGATGCAGCAAATTTAACCCCCTTTTCTCATCATCTAAGTCAGTGATGTTCAAGAAATCTAGAAAGTATCCAAACCTCAACATGTATATCAGATTCCATTTTTTGCTGGGGCCAGAAAACATGATTTTTACTGGCAGAAGATTACAGCACTGTGTAAGAAACACAGCCTGGGGGGGATCTTATTTCCATCTCTCTCAGTGCCTGCTGAGGAGCTCCAGGCATTTCACTGTATGGGCTCTGTCCTCTATGCTGACATTCACTTCTGCTGGGAAGCATACGGTATGAAATGATCTTACAGGTGCCTACAATCATTCATTCTGACTGGCAAAAAAGAGACAA